TGACCTATTAAAAAACGTTATTTTGTGCCGATTGGTCAAATCTCGAATTTTTATGGTAGTCAGTGGTTCGTCCTCTTGTGTTCGTTTTTCGGCAAATAAATTCCAATGTACCGCATAGAATTCAACTCCTAAATTGTTTAAGCGGGCGACCATTTGCTCTGAAATGCATCTTCTTTGAACAATTTTCCTTGAATTTGTCTCGCCTTCGAAGACCACACAGGAGATACAGTTTATTTCTTCTTTTGAAGGCTGCTCCAATTAAGCTTGCATTATGCTTGACTTGAGGAGGAACCCGCAACGAAAAATACTTACACCATGCATAAAGCAAGTTATACCCACATTTCATAATACAGCGTAATTCAAACTTTCCAAAATTTATTATTTACTTATTCTTAAAAAAACTTTCCAATGTATTTAATGATGGCCCTTCCTTACGGATAGGCCTGTGAAAAAATTCCGTTTAGACTCATTAGAGTGCTCCTCTCCACGGAAATCTTTAGTAAAAGGCGAAAGATTTATTCGACAACTGAAGAGAAGCCAGAGTATCTTAACGCTGGCAAAACTAAACTATAAGTGTGTCCATGTATACGAAGTGAATGAGAATTATAACGGGCGAAATCTATCTTCTGATAAATACATATGACACTCAAACACATAAAACGTATGAAACCACCACCATTGAGACGCTTTGCTTTGCTAGCATGCTGTGTGTCGTAGCTTATCACTGCATTGGTGGTGGTTGAAAATAACAAGCCAGGGTTGGCATTTCGTAATTATACAACCACCATTGGCAGTAATACCTACGTGTAACAGTTTATTAGACAGTAGCTGAATGTGAGTGACGCTGATTTGGCGTTGCTTATGGTTCTATAATTCCTTGAAAACAATAATAAATCAAATATTTTAACCGACCTGAAAACAATCATTACACGTGTTCTCCCTTCTTGAGCTTATTGGTGATGCGAACATTTTCATTGTTATATTTATGACATCCCAACCCTGACCAATCTAGAGTTGCCATAGGAATAAGTTAAATGAATTTGAATTTCGCAAACGATTATAAAATGATATCAACGCAAATGTAAATTCTTGTTAAATGAAAATGTCAATCATGAAAAATCAATCATGTAGGAATACTCTAGGTGCCCAACTTCCATCGATTCGAGTTGTGTCTCTTTATACGAAATGTGAAAATCAGAGTTTGCGTCATTTTTATAGAATTGAAAACCCGATTAGCATTCTTGAATTTCATGTTGTACCTTAAAAGTAGCATCAACCCAAAATTGTGCTCTAGATAAAAAAGGTTTTCGCCAGGACACAACATTGTAGTAATGTATGGTTAATTTAGTTCAAATTGTCTATATACCCCGAGAACGTCATGTAGGATGTTCTACACGCTTGGTTAAAGTCTGAAGTGTTTCTGGTGCGTCTGACCAAAGTCTGAGTTCTGTGCAATTTGTTCAAGAAGTGAATGAGATAAATGCAAAATTGTTGCCGTGGCGTCGGGGTTAAATACGTTAAAGCCAAACATTTTAAGATGACCATAATTCCTTGAGTATGATATATTACATTATTATACACATTCAATAAGTATTACTGCAGAATCGACGAATTCATTGCTACATTCCTTTGATATTGCACTATAATGGATGTTGTAATTCAGACGGAAAATTGTTAGGAAATCGGTCCCACAACTCAAATCCCCATACAAAGTTCCCGTGAACATATTTGCGCGTTCCGTCAGACTTTGGTTCATATTTTCATGCGACTCTCCGGTCCTACAATACGCCATCCACTCCATATAACTTTTGGTCAGATCAGACCAAATAGGTATTCGAAATAAGAAGTTTCGTTTGACGTCGGTTCGAAGTTCGTAGAGCAAATAGAGCCACTCTCAACTCAGCTGTCAAAAATGGATTGGAGAGATTAATGGGTGAAATGTTTTCCAAAATCTCAGACAGTGAAAAAGTAAATTTAGAAAGATGCTATTCGTAACCTTTTTTGCTACTTGAGGCATAGGATGTGAAGATATTGACGAATACGTTCTCTTTGAGTATGTTCCAATTAAGTTCTCCTATTAGTTATTACCAGAAATTATATCCTGTTCAAATGATATTGAGTTTTTGGGTTTGTGTCACTTGACTACGCACTTGTTTTCTGACGCAAAAGCGTAATATTCGAAGAGAATCATGAACAAATTGTCTCTGGAGGTCTACATTCAAAGGCAAAGACATTCAAATTAAAGTGGCTTTTGTCATATTTTAAAGTCCATCAAAACTGTAAAAATGAGAGAGCATTGGTTTTGCCCATGGTAAAATTAAATCAAGGTAATCTCATTGCAAACAATAATATTCATCTCTATCCTTTTTTATACCCTCCACCTTAAAAAGGAGGGTATATTACCTTTGTCATTCCGTTTGCAACATCCCTAAATATCTGTCGTAGACCACATAAGGTATATATTCAGGATCAGCATAAAATTCTAAGTCGATTTAGAGATGGCCGTCTGTCTGTTGAAATCGCGATACAGCCCACATTATTTGTCGTAGAGCTTCAAAATTTGGCAGAACCAAAAATTGAGAAATCGCTCAACCTCCCGATATTCGGTATTTTGATTATTTTCGCCACATTTTTCCACGGATTTGTCTAAAAATTGGTATTTGTGGATAATAATAAGTTCTAGCTCTTGTGGCGGAACATAGTATGTATAGGTCAACGTTTTCGTACAGCGCAGATATAACAATACCCACCGATATTCAGTATTTTGATAAACCTAGTCAAATTTACCAACGATTTTTTTCAAATTTAGTATTTAAAAAGATTTTGTAGATGACAATCCTTGAAGTATAGAATTGTCTATAGAGGTTTCCGTCTTGGTATGGCCCCCATATAACGACCTCACATACTTAATGGTTTTTTGAAAAGTTTTACAGCGTTATTCAAACGGTCTTACTGGTATTTGTAGTTTACAGTGGGTCACGTTTGAATTGAGATACTTTCATATAAAAATGTTTTCTGTACCCAAGGGTTAAGCGTATTAAATATTCGGTTCGGCCGAACTTAATGATTTTTTTTTTTTTGAGATGTAGTTTTGCCACTTCAGATAATAGGAACTAATTTCCACTTTTTGGGATTAGGATTAGAAAATTCAAATAAAACCTCTTCAATCGTGGAATAATATTTTATATAACATAGGAAAATGAAAAGTCTCAATATCTAAAATGAATTACAAAAGGTCGACTTTGGGAATACACTACAACCAAACTTCGATTTTTAGACTATTTACAACCAAAAGTCATTCAATCGAAATTCGGCTTCAAAGCTCGATCTTTTGCTCTGTTCAGGACCTGCATGAATGTAAAAGTGTTGCTATCATAACCGACGATTTGCTTTCATTTTTTCGTTCCAAGCCCATGGCACCCTTGATTTTTTTTCTAATTGCGGAATCCTACAACTTGACATAATTTCTACAGAAAATCGAAGTAATAGAAAAATGCTCCTCTTATCTTTTAAAATAAGACATTAACTCAATTTTATGAAAGTTGGCAACCCTTGTACGAATTGCTGATTCAGTATATGATTGTGTTTATCGCTGAGCCTCTCGCTGTTTTAATAGACATGTTTTTATGAATAAAATATTATTTTTTGCAAAAATTAGATTTTAGTTGTATACAGTATACTTTGCTTTTTTTCAGAAGAAAATTTGGGTTTTTAAAGTTTAGAGAAGAAGTGAAAAAAATAGTTGTTTATCCACATTTTTCAAATTCAATACCCTTTTCAAAAATCACGTGGCAATTTGTCATATTCTATATTGAACACATAACAAGAAGAGAAAACATGACTAATAATACAAATCGTGTTCAAGCAGTCGCACATTTACTTAGCTACATACATACATAAGTACGTTAATACATACGTATGCGAACTAAACGAACTCAGCCAACCGCTTCAACGCCACGACACAGCAAATCAGAAATTTCTGTCAGAACGTTCGAATAACACAACAGCTGGCACACGACGAATATGAAATAATAAAAGTGGGTATTTCACTCCATTGTTGTTGTTGCTGTGAATTACTTTATGAGGGGTTGTTTTTGGAATTGAATGAACGAACAACCATACCAACAAAAATACCAACGTACATTTATGGCGATTTAAAAATTGTGTATTTAGCTTGTGTAGCGTGTATTCCATTGACAAATCATATTTTTCTGAATTCATTACCTTTGTTATAATTCTCATTCACTTGAATATGGCCCATGGATAAGATGTTCAGTTTGTCGACGGTAAAGTTATCGCTTCTCGGCCTTATGGCTAAGATCAAAGTGTAGTATCTGTTCTTATCAGCTTAACATCTGATAGATCCTCCATCGGAGGACAACAAATGTTAAACTGATTTTTGGAAATAGGCGGGGTGTTTAGGGGCTTGCTCCACCCCTGCCGCGGGTTGGCCCGGTATTGCAGTACCGCCGGGATTTCGGCCCACATTAAATTAATGCATTTCAAAAAAGAAGTAAAAGGAAAGGGATATTCAAGGAAGACTTTTCCTGGAAAATAACCCGTATGTTCCGACGTGGGAGTCTTTTTTCCTTCAAGAACTGTGCGAGCGTGCGTTTCGAATATCTTTTCTCTGGGGAAACCACTGGAATGTATTCAGACAAATTAGCAAAATTCTAGTAGATTTCTTTCTGTGGGAAATTTTTTCTCTAAAAGAGGTCTATGAAATTCTTCTGCTTCGAAGCACGGATAGATAATATGCTATTATATAGCGGTTCTGTAGCAGAAGTAGTTTGTCTTTTTAGTTGCCTATTTTAAAGAAAAAATTAAGGTTTTCCATATTTTTGAAAGATTTTAAACGTCTATAGAAGACCTCAGCGGGTCTTCCGTCTCTGGCAGATCTCGAGAATTTTTTTTCTTAGCGAAGATTTCGAGTCAGTCTTTATTCTTAGAAACCATTCTCCACTCTTAACGGCTCCTTTTTCTGTCCTTCCTGTTTTCAGATTCAAGTAGTCAACGGTGTCATCCTGATATCCTGGCGTCAATCGGTGCTGCAAAAACAAATTGATTATGGCGCCAAATTGGGTCATGTCGTGCTCTCCTTAGCCAAAATGGAATTGGAAAATTTCTTCAAAAATGTAATGCCCGTTGCGGATTATTTCGATCAGAGCGATATGCTAATAGCGGTAAGTTCGCATCATATCACCCCCAAAACATTTGATCCCCAGTAACATCAGCGCTTTCGCTTTCAGGTCAACGGTGAACGTGCTCCGTCCGAGGTTTACAAAGATTTCCGTTCGGCTGTGCTTGACATCTTGAGTTCGCTGGAAAATCAGGAGGCCATTCTCAATGGAGTAACAGGTATGGGCAGAGGGATAAATGATATACCGGGCAGTATAGTTAGCGTAGACACGGCACCTAGTCAAGCACCCCAGAATATTCCAGGAAATCTTAATTATAACGCTGGTCAATCAATTTCAACAGTGCCATCGCAGCAGCAGGCGATCAACACCGCCAATCACATGGGTGGTGAGCGGAATATTACGAATGCGGTTATTTCTCACATAGCCTCGAATGCCGCCCAAGCTGTGGGTTCGGCCGGAGCGGTGACAAGGCAACCGATGTTGACCAATGCTGCCACGTCCATGAGCACGGATATGAATGGCATACCGCCGGTAATATGGGTGATTGGTGGACCGGGCAGTAATAAGGCCACGCTTTGTATGAAAGCGGTGGGTTTGAATCCGGGTTGGGCTCATTTTAGGTAAGTCGTGGTAATAAAGAAAAATGGAATTTTATTAATTATTTCGTTTGCCCAAAAACATAGTGTGGGTCGCCTTTTACGCAGCATTACCGATGCAGCGCCACGTGCCAATACCGAAAGTTATGCCGTTAAGGAAGCCTTAGCCGCCGGCGAAATGGCTCCAGAGAAAGCCATCAACACAATTTTGGAAACAAATTTGCGTCAAATGTCCGACAAGCAGGGCGTCATCATTGATGGTTTCCCCAGGAATATGCAGCAGGTCAAATATTTCGAGGATAAGGTAAGCAAAGATTCACTATGGGATGATGTCAAAAATATTCAGAAACAAACATTTTCGCACCTGAACTAGGACTGATAAAAGTTGTAGGAGGTAGTACTAGGTCAAAATTGGATGGCGTTTTCTTGATTTATGAGCTACATCGTTTTCTATGCAAATGTTGACTCTTTGTGGGTAAGATACCATAAGGAATGGTCCGATTTCGGACCTGTTCGAAACTAAGTTTGATAGTAGTATTAGGATGTACGAAGTTTGGGCCAAATCGGATATTCCCTTCGAGAGTTATCGTGCGCAACAACCAGATGGACACCCTTAGTTCGGCTCGAAATGTCCTGAAACGGATTTGGTCTAGAGGGCCCTTGACAAAATTGTCTTGAAAAATCCACGTTTATGGCTCATTAGGTCTTTGACAAAATTTTCATAAAAAATCCGCGTTTATAGCTCATTAGGTCATTGACAATATTTTTTAAAAAATCCACGTTTATGACTCATTAGGTCCTTGACAAAATTTTCTTAAAAAATCCACGATTATGGATCATTATGTCCTTGAAAAAAAATTCTTAAAAAATCCACGTTAATGTCTCATTAGGTCCTTGAAACAATTTTCTTAAAAAATCCACGTTTATGGCTCATTAGGTCCTTGAAAAAAAAATTCTTAAAAAATCCACGTTTATGGCTCATTAGGTCCTTGAAAAAAAAAATTCTTAAAAAATCCACGTTTATGGCTCATAAGGTCCTTGAAACAATTTTCTTAAAAAATCCACGTTTATGGCTCATTAGGTCCTTGAAACAATTTTCTTAAAAAATCCACGTTTATGGCTCATTAGGTCCTTGAAACAATTTTCTTAAAAAATCCACGTTTATGGCTCATTAGGTCCTTGAAACAATTTTCTTAAAAAATCCACGTTTATGGTCCTTGAAACAATTTTCTTAAAAAATCCACGTTTATGGTCCTTGAAACAATTTTCTTAAAAAATCCACGTTTATGGCTCATTAGGTCCTTGAAACAATTTTCTTAAAAAATCCACGTTTATGGTCCTTGAAACAATTTTCTTAAAAAATCCACGTTTATGGCTCATTAGGTCCTTGAAACAATTTTCTTAAAAAATCCAAGTTTATGGCTCATTAGGTCCTTGACAAAATTTTCTTAAAAAATCCAAGTTTATGGCTCATTAGGTCCTTGACAAAATTTTCTTAAAAAATCCACGTTTATGGCTCATTAGGTTCTTAAAAAATCTACGTTTACGGCTCATTAGGTCCTTGACAAAATGTTCTTAAAAAATCCACGTTTATGGCTCATTAGGTCCTTGACAAATTTTTCTTAAAAAATCCACGTTTATGGCTCATTAGGTCCTTGACAAAATTTTCTTAAAAAATCAACGTTTATGACTCAATAGGTTGTTGACAAAATTTTCTTAAAAAATCCACGTTTATGGTCCATTTGGTCCTTGAAAAGAATCTTTTTAAAAATCCACGTCTATGGCCCTTTTGGCCCTTGAAAAGAATCTTTTTAAAAATCCACGTTTATGCCCCTGTTGGTCCTTGAAAAGAATCTTTTTAAAAATCCACGTTTATGGCCCATTTAGTCCTTGAAAAAATATTTTTAAAAATCAACGTTTATGGCCCATTTATTCCTTGAAAAAAAATATTTTTAAAAATTCACGTTTATGGCCCATTTAGTCCTTGAAAAAAATAATTTTAAAAATCCACGGTTATGGCCCATTTAGTCCTTGAAAAAATATTTTTAAAAATCCACGTTTATGGTCCATTTAGTCCTTGAAAAGATATATTTTTTAAAAATCCACGTGTATGGCCCTGTTGGCCCTTGAAAAAAAATATTTTTAAAAATCCAAGATTATGGCGCATTTGGTCCTTGAAAAAAAATCTTTTAAAAATCCAAGTTTAAGGCCCATTTGGTCCTTGAAAAAAATATTTTTAAAAATCCACGTTTTTGGCCCATTTAGTCCTTGAAAAAATCTTTTTAAAAGTCCACTTTTACCCCCTGTTGGTCCTTGAAAAGAATCTTTTTAAAAATCTACGTCTATGGCCCTGTTGGTCCTTGAAAAGAATCTTTTTAAAAATCCACGTCTTTGAAGAAATAATCTTTTTAAAAATCCACGTCTTTGAAGAAATAATCTTTTTAAAAATCCACGTCTTTGAAGAAATAATCTTTTTAAAAATCCACGTCTATGGCCCTGTTGGTCCTTAAAAAATATTTTTAAAAATGGTCCTTATGGGATCATAAAAATCCTTTAAAAATATCCTTAAAAGTATCCTTTTTTGTTTTTCTATTTTCCAGTATAAACAACGCCCACCCATCATCCTCTTGGATTGCTCCAAGTTGCAACTTGGTCGAGGACGCATAGACGACACAGTATCCTCATTTCGCCGCCGATTGGAACTTTTCCGGGAGCAAACCTTGCCAATGCTTAAGGCCATGGATAACAGCAATCGTTTGCAGATTGTAAGACCCCTATTTAAAAATATAAAATTTTTGAGTTTTTTTCAAAAAAATCCTTCTTTTTTAACCCTGCAGATCGATGGTGACACCGACAGTCCATCGGTGCAGCGTGAATTTGAGAAATCCATACGGAATCACATACAAAATCTCACAGGAGCTACAGCGGCCAATAATGTGGGCCAAATGGCCATTATGCCATATGGCGGCGGAGCAGCTGGAGCCCATGGGAATCAACAAACCGATGCCATACTACAGGATTTAGAAAATAATGTGCCTGGTGCAGTGCCAACAATAAGCCATCATGTCAGTCTCATGAATGGCCATCTGAAGAACCGCAACACCAGCGGTCATCAATTAGCGAATAACAATAATACTAAGGGTCCCAATACATATATGAACGGTGACATAGGTCAGACCGGTCAGACAATGGATTTTCGCCACATGCTCGAGGAGGCTGAGCGTTATCCGGTCGATTCTTATATGTAAACAAACTCAAGTACATTGGGTTTAAATATTAAAAAAAACTGGAGCTGGGTCTCCATAGAAAATTTTAAATTAGATTTAGGAACTTTGGAAGATATTGATTTTATATGGACCAAGGTGATAGGTTAAGATCAGAATAATTGAAAAAAATTTAAACTAGATTCTAAGTATAAACATCAATGGTTTGCAGCTTTACCGGTAATTTCGAAAATTCAAATTCATTTTCGAAACCTTACAAATGAAACTTTTCAGCTAGGAATGAAAAAGAGGATGTTTTCGAAACCTTACATTTAGAACAAATAAAATTTATAATTAAATTTATTTAAATAAAATTAATAATTATTGAATTTGCAATTGAATTGCATTACAACATTCAGCAGCTGCAAATTCGCTCTCAATGCTGAATTGAAGCATTCGCGAACATTTTTTCTCTTTTTGCTGAAACATTCATTCATTAATTTGAAAAAAAAAGACACAAACTAAGTTAGAACATAATTTTGGACTAGTTTTTAAGTTGTTTGTTGAAAATTTTATCTAATAAAGTTTAATCAAAAAGAAAAAAGGATGTTGGAAATTTCTTTTCAAGTCAATTAGGGAATTACAAGAGAGAGAAACCTGTTAATCCAAAAAAACATTAGAGAGTTCATCGAAGGCGAGAAAGTCGTTATAGGGTCTTCTAGATGGCTGCTAGGCTCTGAAGATCTTTAAAAGATCTTCAAAATTTAGGAGACCTTTAAGGGGTTATAGGGATTGAAGAGTTTTAATAGATCTTCAAAGGGTCTTTTAGGGTTTTAAAACATTAAACAGATATTTTAGGGCTAGAATGTCTTTAGCAAGTTTCTAAGACCTTAACACCTTTAACTGGCGGTATAGAGCTAGAAGACTTTTAACAGGCCTCTTAGGGCCCAAAGGTCTTGAGACGGTATTACAGGGCTAGAACACCCTCAGCACTTCTTCTAGGGCCTGAATACCTTTAACCAGAATTCTAGGACAAAAATACCTCCAAATGACACGAAGACCTCAAATACGACTTCTTGGGCTCGAATGGCTTTAACAAATCAAATCGAGGTTCTGAAGATCTTTAACCAGCCTTCTAAGGCTTGAAGACCTTAATAAGGTTTTGTGGGGCTAGAACGCTTTTGACCGGCCTTCAATGGCTTAAAAAACCTTTATCAGGTGGAAGGTCTTCAAAAGGTATTCCAGGGCTAGAATACCATTAGCATATCTTCTAGGACCTGAAGGCCATTAACAGGTCATCCAGGGCTAGAAGACCTTTAGCCGGCCTTTGTAGACCTCAAACATGTCTTTTAGGACTAGAACGCCTTTAACAGGTCTTCTAGGGCCTGAATATCTATAATTGGCCTTCAAGAGCTTGAGAACCTTAAACAGATGTTCTAGACCTAGAACGCCTTGAACAGGCCACCTAGAGGTAGAAGACATTTAAGGTTTAAAGATTTTGAACGTGTATTGCAGGGCTAGAAGGCCTTATGCACGACGGTTAAAAGGCCTTTAACCGGTCTTTTAAGACTTGAAAAAGTCAAAAAGGTCTTCTGCGGCCTGAAGATCTTTAACTGATTTTCTTGGTCTAGAACACCTTCAGGGCTTGAAGAGCTGAAACAGAACTTCTGGGGCCTTTAACTGGCCATCTTGAAGATGTATTGCAGGGCTAGAAGGCCTTTAGCACGACTCCAACGATCAAAAGACATTTAACTGGCCTTTTAGGAATTGAAGACCTTATACATGTCTTTTAGGACTAGAACACCTTTAACAGGACTTGAAAACATCAAACAGGTCTTCTGGGACTTGAATATCTTTAACTGGCCTTCTTGGTCTGGAACGCCTTTAACAGGTCTTCTGGGGCCTGAAGATCTTAAACTGGCCTTCTAGGGATTGAAGATCTTAAAAAGGTCTTCTAGGACTAGAACGTCTTTGACAGGTCTTCTGGAGCTTAAAGGCCTAGGAAAGGTATTCTAGGGCTGGGAGATCTTTAGCACTTCTTCGAGGGCCTGAAAACAAGACCTTAAAGGGTTAGAAGATATTTAACCGGTCTTCTAGAGAGAGCATTTTAAGAGGTCCTCTAACATTTGAAGATCCTTATCCCGTCTTCTAGGATTTGAAGACCTTTATTATTTACCGTTTTCGTTAAAAAAGGTCTTCTAGAAGTCCATTGACAGACCTTTTTGGACTAACAGACTTTTTACAGGTCTACAAGGTATAAAAATCCCTGTTAGCCCTTGAACATTTTTTGAAAATCCTTGGGTTTCATTGAATAATTTTCCTTTAAAACTCATTGTAAGCCCTTAAAAATATTCTTTAAAAAATCCACGTTTATAGGTCTTTTGGTCCTTGAAAAATATTCTTTAAAAAATCCACGTGTTTGGTCCTTGAAAAATATTCTTTAAAAAATCCACGTGTTTGGTCCTTGAAAAATATTCTTTAAAAATCCACGTTTATAGCTTTGTTGGTCCTTGAAAAATATTCTTTAAAAAATCCACGTTTATAGCTTTGTTGGTCCTTGAAAAATATTCTTTAAAAAATCCACGTTTATAGCTTTGTTGGTCCTTGAAAAATATTCTTTAAAAAATCCACGTTTATAGCTTTGTTGATCCTTGAAAAATATTCTTTAAAAAATCTTTTCTCCAAAGAGGATTTTAACGACGGTCTTCTCTGAAGATCATTGAGCTGTAGAAGACAAAGATCTTCTATAAAGGCCGTGAAGCTGTAGAAGACCCCTATAGAGGTCTCCAACCTATTGACGAATATATTTTTAATTTCCTAACTATTTCTTCCTACCCATTGTAACCTCCATTCCCCTGCAAGTTTTACTTAATTATATTTCTTTTGAAAAAAATATTCTTTAGATTACCGGAGATTGATTTACACGATATGTCCATGTTACTGACTCTGAACGTGTATGTGTGTGCGTACATATGTAGCAAAATACATTTTGAGATACTGTAAAAATTATCAATTTAAAATAAAATATTATTTGTTTTTACTCGGATTACTACGTGGTGGATGTTTCATATCTCCCTCTCTCTCCTGGTTGAAGAAAGGAAGGCAGCAGGCCAGCCTATCGCCAGTCCACGGCATTAAACAAACAGAAGCGAGGGATAGATGATATGACCTGTCTGTCTGCCAACTGACATTTTGAATTCGTGGGAGTAAATATAGAAAAATTGTAAAGCGATGAAACAGAGCAGCAAGTTGACGGAGTAAATTCCTCCTCATTATCGCAAAAATGAACAGAGGAATAATTTTTAAGATTCGATTGTTAGTTGGCCGTTTGGTTTCAGAGAAAGTAGATGTGTAAAAAGGGAGTAGCTTGCAATAATAGTTTTTGTGAAAATAAAATAGTAAAAAATAGTTATTAAAATGGAAAATATAGAACTGCGTTTGAAAGAAATGGAGAAACGGGGCTTGATTCGTTCAAAATCGGCCAAACCAGCCCAGGTTGGCTTGTATCATTATTATCATACGGATTTTTATTATTCGATGCCGGAAATTAGTAGTAAGTATTTTTTAAAATTAAAAATGAATAAATTCGAAAAAAATAAATAAAAAAAGATTAAAAATGAGAAACACAAAACATTTAAATCGATAAGAAGAGGGAAGCACATAATGTTCAGATGCTGAAAATTTCACCCAAAAATTAAGAAAAATTGATGCTCCGAAAAAATGGATATATTCGGATATTTTATCATAGAAAGCACTGACATAGACAGACGACTAAGGAAGGTTCTGCTTCACCCACTTCCACATGAGTTTTTTTTAAAAATAATTTACGAAGCACATACTATGTTCCTTGGGACCCTGGAAAGTGGTTCAGAAATACATTTTTGATCCGTCAGTTTTATATACTAAAATATGAATATTGTAAAAAATATTTAATCCTCGGACAAAAAAAAAAATCCCTTGGAACAAAAGGTCAAGGATTCGTCCGGGTAATATAAAAGCTTTCTAGGGACTATGGCTGGAAATTTACTAATAAAATAAGTCCACAGAAATTGGTTATTAATTACACGCTGATGGACCTTTATTTTGGCTGAGGGTATAATGACTAATAATAATAGATATGGTTACATAGTTGGTTAATGAACTTCCATACGAATTATTCACCAGTTCAGAAGCTAACAGTAGAATCGTAAATACGTTCCCTAGTCAAAGGGTACTTTTGTTCATAGCGTTTCAAATTTTGACGGACATTTTGAAAGAGCTTATATTTTATTGTTAGGAAAATAACACAACCTAAATGCAATGTCCGCTGCAGCCATGTTGAGGTGTGATTCAATGGAAATTCTAAACACACCACTATTACACTCACATACCCCAAAACATTCAAGACACAAACCTAGCACAATTTTTTTGGGGGAAATATTGTTGCCAGTTCAAAACGAAATTTTATGTTTGAGGCATCAACTCGAAAAAAGAACAAAAAAAAATTATCAAAAAATTAGAAAATATTTTCAAATTTTTTGGCATCATTATGTGATAAATATATTTTTTATACCCTACACCACAAGGTGGTCAGGGTATTATGTCTTTGTGCATTTGTTTGTAACAGGTAAAAGGAAACGAGATAGACCCATAGTTCCTTTTGATGATCTGCATAGAATTACTTTCTGAGTTGATTTATGCATGTCAGTCCGTCTGTCCATGTATTCTTTTGAACAAAATGCAGATCGCATTTATTATCCGATTGAGATGAAATTTTGCAAACAACATTTGTTTGGCCGAAGGACGAACCCTATTGAAATTGGAGATAATCGGTCAAAATTTAGATATAGCTCCCATATATATCTTCGTCCGATTTGCCTTTTATTGTGCACCAAACGTGTAATATCAGCCCAAATGGTATAGAATTTTGCACATACAACCAAATTAGGCCTGAAAATAAGTATGCCAAATTTTATCGAAATCGGTTCAGATATAGCTATAGCTCCCATATATATTGTTCATCCGATTTGTTATTTTTGTCCTCCGCAGCCGTAATATGCACTCCGTAACAACGATATTCAGGGAAATATATAAAATATAAATATAAATACAGCTCAGCAATATCTTTGCCAATTTTATCGAGATCGGTTCAGATTTGGATATAGTTCCCATATATATTTTTATCCGATTTCAAATTAATTTCGCACCAAATGGGCAATATAAGTCTGAATTTAAAAGATATAAATGCTTCGGCATATTTAGTCCTTTAAATTTTAAATTATAATTATAATCATAGCGTGTATGATTGAATTCTCCCATAAAAACTTTTAATTATTAAGTGGAACCCAACTAAATTAGCAAAGTTGTGTAGGGTATCATAAAATCGGCCCGCCCGACTTTAGGACTTTCTTTACTCGTTTGGTATACAATGGAAATAGAGATTCCTTTCGTTGGCAATTTATAGTAAAATTTGATGAAGAAAATGTTTGTCTTTGATGTCATCCTTCTAAAATGATTCTTTGTTAGAAAATTTTGCATAAGCAAAGAACGGCTTTAATCCTGAAGTGATTTTTTAGTATATATGAATTCTTGGCATTTAGGTATGATTTCGACTTTTGACGATTCCTAGGACTTATAGTAAAATTTTATGGCAAATAATTTTGACTTGCTACGGGGAATTTGTTCCCGCTCTCGGTCAAAACGTCGATATACGAGTTCCTTTACAAATATTTTTTAAAAAATCCTTAAGTCCTTGATGATTATGATTTAGAAAAAAAAAACATACAGGGTGAGATAAGGAAACTTCAACAAAGTCAATCGCCATAATTTTTAGATTTTTTTTAAATTTTATTAAATGAAAGCAACAAATGTCGGAAGTAGTATAAAATATTAGAATTACTTTAGATTTCTTCGAATTGATCACATTTGGCACGAATTATGGCCTTTAAACGACCAATGAAGCCGTCACACGCTGCCCGAATGCTGCTCTGCGGTATTTTTGTCAATTCCCGACGAAGCGTTTGCTTGAGGTGATCGAAACTTTTGTATTTTTTAGTGGAAACCTTGCTTTTCAAAACACTCCAGACACAATAGTCCAACGGATTGGTACCCGTATATTTTGGTGGCCATTGTGCGCTGGAAATGAAGCGAAGAACCTCATTTGTAACCATTCTTGGAAGGCGCGATCTGAGGGCAATGGTGCTGATTCCTGTTGGAATATCCAAGGTCTGCGGACAAAATGTTTGATTGCCCAAGACTTTAATACACCCTCCAGAATATTTTCGCGATAGTATTCGTCATTTATTCTGATCTTCGACCATGGTCGATTAATACGAGCAAAGAGCGACCATCGGCTGTTATGGCGGCTCACAGCATCAACATGGCCGGCGCTTGAGTTCTGGTGGCCAACCGAAGGTGCACATTTGGCAAGTAAACACGATCATTTTGTTTGTTTACAAACTGCTGGACAACGAATGTTTTCTCATCGGAGAAAAACCAAATTCGGCAGTTCACCACTTTCAGCCAAGCGAAGCAACTATTTAGCTTTTTTGAGTCTATTTTCTTTCAGTTGCGGTATAAGTTCTTGCACCTTTTGGAATTTCAATGGCTTTACCCCGAGCTTATTTTTCAATATTTGCTGAATGGAATATTGCGATATGTTCAGCTCACGAGCCGAGTAATCTTTCGGCCACTGCGACGTGGCTTTCGATCAAGTCGCTTCTTTACTTTTCGAACAATTTCTGCTGATGTTGCTGTTTTCTTCGTCCACTTCCTTGACGTCGGGCTACGCTACCAGTATCACGGTAACGAGCAATGGTACGAGACACAAAAGATTTATTCATATTGAAATGCTGGAGTGCTCTAACGATAGCCACTTGTGAGTTTCCAGCCAAATATAAAGAAGTCACACTATCACGCTTGAATTCCATCACGAATAACTTTTCTTTCTGGAAAATTCTCACCAAAGAAGTGCTTTTGTAAGCTTTTGAACAATATAATGAGCTTTCACTGGAATAATTTTAACGAGTTTCTTAGAAATGACAGCAATCTGAAGTTGCTTGCAGTTTTTTCATCTCATCCTGTATATTTTTCATCTGATTTGTGATTTTTGTACTCCGCAGCCGTAGTATGCACCGTGCAACAACGATATCTGGGGATATATATCAAATACAGCTCAGAAATACATTTGGTAGATTTTATCAAGATCGGTTCAGATTTGGGTATAGCTCCCATATATATCTTCATCCGATTTGTCTTTTATTGTACAGTAAACGTGGTCTTACGACCAAATTGAGTCTAGAAACAAGTATGCCAAATTTGGTGAAAATCGGCTCAGATATAGCTATAGGTCCCATGTATAGTGTTCATCCAATTTGTTGTTATATTTGTTCTCCACAGCCGTAATATGCACTCTGTAACAACGATATTCAGAGAAATATATCAAATGCAGCTCAGAAATACCTTTGCCAAATTTTATCGAGATCGGTTCAGATATCTTTAATCGATTCATATATGTCTTATCCTATTTCCAGTTAATCGGGCACCAAATGGGTAATGCAAGCCCGAATTGAAAAGGCACAAATGTCTCGGCAAATTTAGTAGAAATCGATTCAGAGAAGGATATTCCTTTGGACTTTAAATTATAATCATAGTTTGTATGATTTAATTCTCACAAGTTTTCCATAAAAACTTTTAATTGTTATGTGAAGCTCTACTAAATATACAAAGTGGTAAAGTCGGCCCCCGCCCGACTTAAAAACTTTTTTTATACCTTTAAAATTTTAGTATTAATTGAAACTATACTAAAAATGTTTTTAGATTAAAATTTCTGGGGAGTGTCTAAAAGTATGCTATGAAAATTGTGGAAAAATCCCTATACATATGACTCTAACATCACGAGTAATCTAGCCTTTAATTTGCATTCCGCAAACCTTGCACGGGTCTTGTATAGATGAATGTCTTCATTTCTAAAAGTTTTTAATCTATACAGAGTTTATGGGTCTTCTATAGCTATAAGAACTCCCTAGGCCAACACAAGTATAGACGGAGGATTTTCTCCCGCTCTTTGTCAATAAAAGATAATTTGTTAGCTTTTTAAAATTTCGATTCAATTTTCTACAGCCCACTGTGCAACAGCTGATTTGGGTTGCATGCCGCTTTGTCTTTGTTTTTATTTTTCAAAAAACAAAAACATCACAAAACAAGAGAGGGAGAGCCTAAAAATCGAAAATAGAAACCCCCCAACAACAAGAAAAACCACACCAACAAACATTTACAAACGACTAGAGAAGAAGACAAAGGCACTAATTAAGAGTAGGAAGAAGAGAAGAAGAAAATGGATTTTCAATTTTATTTTGGTTCGTTTTGTTTTATGGGAAGAGGCCCAAATGAGAGTAGAGGCAGCACCCATCGAAACAATCAAACAGCCAAGCAGCCAGTCAGTCACTCACTCGCGACAGTTCCAACGGTTCATTGTTCGTGAATGGAACGGCCAAAACGGTGCTGCCGCCGCATTTCGAAAGAGGGAAAATTCGATTGGATTTCGTTGTAAAAGCAACAACAGCAAAAATATTATTAACGTGCATTACACAAAAAAAACAAAACATAACAACAATGGAGATGATGTTCTCCAAATTATTACAAAATAACATGGTTTTGTAAAAAAGAAATAACAAAGAAATAAAAAACCAAAAAAAAAAAAAAAAAACCAAAAATATTTAAATAAAAATTGTGAAATAAGTGAGAATTGTTACAGTTCCATATTAGAAAAAAATGGATTATCTTGTTTTAATATTACTGTGAATTAAAACAACAACAACAAAAAGTTGGCGAAGAAATAAATTAAATAATTTCCCCAAGTTTGAAAAATGAAAAACCCATCATCAAAAAGTGTTTTTTTTTTAATTTGTTCTGAGTCATTGAATTGTGAAACGGTAACCAAAAATTTTCGTGAATTAAAAAAAATAAATAAATTAAAGTAAAACAAAGGAAATACCAACAACAAAAACCATAATAATACAAAAAAAAATAACAACAACAAAAAGAAAAACAAACAAAACCAAGTGAAGAACTATCGGAATTTCAGGCTGACACCTTCGACATTATTATCGCGACGCCGTCCGTGCGTCCGTTCGTCGTCGTCATCGTTGTTTTTAATACCGTTCTATAATATTTGCTTTTTTTGTGTTGCTTTTGTTTTATTGTTACGTGTTGTTGTTGTTCTTGTAACCCAGCAATGCAAGCGACCATTTGCCGAGCAATGTTGTTGTTGTTATTCTTGTTGCCGTTGTCAATAAACAAAAAATAAATTTTGTACTCGTGGTTCAATTTTGGCTCTATTTTTATGACAGCTGATATTTGTTGTGTTTTCTTCTTCTTCTGCATTGATGCGCCAGCCGCTCAGTCATCGGTGGATTTAAATTTAACACCGCAACCACCATCATCATCGTCGGCGTCGCTCTTTTGTTGGGTCACTTCTATTGCCTTTGTAATGCTAAGCAATAGGAAATTGGTCGACCGAACAACCACCGCCTCAATTCTAATCACCAGCACCTCCCATTGCCAGAGAAGCCCTAGGCCAAACAACAACAAAATCGTCGTCTATCGTCGACAACAACAGCAAAGCACAACGTCTTGTAATTTGACTAGCTTGTCCAATTGTCCAAAGTTTATGCCCGAGTGGTGCTCCTCATTAGCGTCACCATCATCATTTGTGGCCCAGCGACCCATAATGTAAGTTTTGAAGAATAAAGCTTGAAAAATTATTACTGGATAAGAGGGAGGGAGAGAGAAGGAAGAGAATGTAATATGTATGTGAAGGCGAGCTTTGAATCATATGTAAAGTGGGTTTTTTTTCACATTTTTATACCCTCCACCATAGTTTGACGGAGTTTTTGTAACACCTCGCAATAAACATTTTAGACCCCACAAAGTATGCATACATATTCTTGATCAGCATAAAATTCTATGTAGATTTAGCGATGTCCATCCGTGGAAATTGTTGAAAATGGGCTATATGGGTCCACATTTAGGTATATAACTGTACCTCCCTATATTCGGTACCTCCCTATATTTGATGGAAACCACTCTAGCTTCCGAAAGAATTGAAGTAGGTTGATAAAATTTTACTCAAATGTGTATTTGCTTTACAGGACTTTTGGTATTGAAAATGGGCTATATAGGTCCACGTTTAGGTATAGCCCTTATATAACTGTACCTCCCTATATTCGTTATGCTGATGATTTTAGCGACATTATTCACCAGAATTGTTCAAATTTGGTATTTGAAGTTCGAAATGGATACTACAACCCAAGACAGAAAATTGTCTGTGCAGGTCTACGTCTTCTTATAGACCCCATATAACGGTACCTCCCGATATTCGTTATTTTGATAATTTTAGCGACATTATTCAACGGAATTGTTCAAATTTCATATTTTCGCTTCGTAAAGGGTACTACAGCGTGTGACATAGAATTGTCTATGCAGCTCAACGTCTTCTTATAGCCTCCATATAACAGTACCCCCAATATTCGGTAGTTTGATGATTGTAGCCAATTTTTTTCAAAGAAATTGTCTGAAAATCCATACAAGGAGTTCTCCCTCAGTACTTTACCCTCTGGAAGTGTTATATCTATATATGTACACGTTTAGGTATAGCCCCCATATAACGGTACCTCCCGATATTCGGTATTTTGAGGATTTTAGCAACATTATTCCCCGGATTTTTTTCAAATTTCGTATTTGAAGTTCCTATGTTCCTGCCTGTGACAAAAAATCGCCTATGCAGATCCAGGTCTTCGTATAGCTCCCATATAACGGTGCTTACCTGTATTTTATTATTCACTAGAATGGTTTCAAATTTTGTACATGCACTTCGTAATGGGTACTACAGAATGTGACGTAAAATTGTCTATGCAGATCCAGGTCTTCGTATAGCCCCCCTATATCGGTATATTGGTTTTCTATGGTAGGAGCCATCCCATTGATCTTCAAAGGAGGAAGGAGAACTTTTTGAAACTGTTTTTTCTATAAAAGTCCTTTAAACGGGCTTCTATGAGTCGGTTTGAAAGAAGCGTTCTTAAAATACATTCCGGTTTCCTATTAGGAAAGGATAAGTTGGAAATTTATAAATGCTTGCTAAAAAGTTATGTAATTGCATCAAATTATTCATACAGTACATATGTTGTAAACACGAGATTTATACTTCAATTTCAACATCTATCAGTAGATGGTTCAGAACATCTGTAGTCTTTTTGTATGCAAACTTCCCGTCGAAACGGTGATAAAAACTGTTGATGGTATGTATAATGAAGACAATATCGGAAAAAATAACCAGGTAGATGGCGTTAATTGTAACATGTAGAGATAATTTAAATACCTCTGAAGGGTCTCTTACTCAAGCTATTTCTTCCTAAAGAAGACCCTTCAAAAGTCTTCATTAAAGGGTGTTCTTTAGGAAGAAATAGCTTGAGTAAGAGACCCTTCAAAGGCTATTTAAATTCTCTCTACATGTTACAATTAACGCCATCTATACTTCAGTTTTTTCAATAGTTTAAACCTCCCCCTTTCAACGAGTTGGCACTGGAGAGAAGATCTCTAAAGAGTTTCGCTAATGACAGATATTCGTAATGACTTCTCAGCGTGGAGTAAGACGGAAATTTTATAAATACATCCTTGAAGGTTATGAAATGCTTTCCAAAAATAATAATGAACGACATCTATACTTCAATGACAGATCATCTATCAGTGGTTCGTTTGTGAGCGAAGTTGCATTCAAGAAGATATGAGTAATGATATAATGAAGAGTTGATAAGCCAATATTCGATACCACCATACTCAAGTTTCTTTCATCTATACAACATCTTCAAAAGGCCTTCTCTATTCTATCAGGTTAGAGAAAGGCAGAAAGTCCTAGAAGTTTATTAAAACCTGTCCAAATGTTGTAGTGAACACCATCTATACTTAAGTTTAAATATTCAACGTTTTAATCGTTCCTCGTTCGAATAGAGTGCGTTCGATCATCTATCATTAGTTCGTTTATGAGGACAATTTCTCAAGAAGTTATGTTATGGTGTCCAGGTGACTATTAATCTCAATGTAGACATAAATATATTTTCCATTTAAAGATGAACTAAAGAAGAACTTTAAAAGATTTTTCCTCCAGAAACCACCTTCAACAGTCTTCTCTATTTTGTGAGGGTAGAGAACTGAGGAAGGTGATGGAATTCTGTCCAGATGTTGCAAAGAACGTCATCTATAAGCCAGTTTGAATATCTTTGAATATCTTGAACTGTAGAAGGTGATGGAATTCTGTCCAGATGTTGCAAAGAACGCCATTTATAAGCCAGTTTGAATATCTTATACGGTTAAGGTTATGAAATACTGTCGACAGTTTGATTATAATATCTTTCAACCGTCTGAAAGGTTTCATACTCAAACCACTTCCAGTTCCATTCTCAGGTATCCAGGTTAATATTAATATTTAAAGATGACCAAAAGAATACATTTAAAAGATCTGCACTGCATTTTTAATTTTTATAAAAGCCAATAAAATGCAATGGTTATTGTCTTATTTTTCTAAAGGGCGCCGATTTTTTAACGATTTTTCGGGTTCTCTTCCTGAGCAAATAATGTTATTTTTTAGAGACCAATGGGAGTAAAATGCTTGCAATTTTCAATGATTTTTCAGAAAGCCAAAGGACACACCGATTTTTAAATGATTTTCTCATGGTAGGACGGTTCATGGTAGGGTTTTTTTATAATGTTAGCCTATGGGAAACTGGTCCAATTTTTTAAAATTTTTTTTGAAAAGGGCCATGAATACAAAAAGCATCGATTTTTTAATGATTTTTCAGAGGACCCATAGAAAGTAAAATGAAAGGATTTTTTAATGACTTTTTTGATGATCCATGGGAGGAAAAATGCGTAATAATGCGATTTTTCAGGGAAAGACAAAAAGTGTGCATATTTTTAATGACTGACTTTTCAGGAAACCCAAGGGTGGGTAGAGAATGGATTTTCAATGTATTTTCTGAAGACCCGTTGAAAATTTTCAATTATTTTTTCAGAAAACTCGTGAAGCTTATCCATGGGGGGATTTCCTACTTATTTTTCTTAGGACCCATGGGAAGCAAACGACATGGAGTTTTTAATGATTTTTCAAGGAGCCATGGGAGGATTGAGGATTTATGGATTTTTTGTTTCAGATTAATATTGATCGGCTACAGGGTCAGGGTAGCTGTTTTCGATATTCTTCAATCGAAGTATCTAGTTTCTCAAAACATGGAATTTAACAATTTACTGTTACAATTATTGCGGAATCCCTCAGATGCTTATACTAAGTATTTTCGCTAGTTTCCGTTTACATTTGCCTAACCGCTTCCTTTTCTGTTTTACAACGTCGTCTGCTGCAGTCAATTATAAAAGCAAATGCCAGCCAGCGTTTGGCCCAGTTCCAACAAACATAATATAATTTTATTTGTTTTGATTCGTCTATTCGTCGGTTCTCTTGTTTTTTAGTTATTATTTTATTACGTGTCTCGTGTACTTGGTGTAATTTCATATTAATCACATACAAATGAACATACATATGTATAAATAAAAAAAAAAAAACATTTTATTGATAATAAATATAGAAAAAAAATCAATTCATTTTTTTTTTTTTTTTTGTTGATATAAATTTCATGGGAAGCCTACAAGTGTTTGCATGTCTCAGCTGGGTGGTGTTGGTTGGTGGATTCTCCGAGCAAGTTCAAGTGTTTGGCGTTTAAGTTTTTTTTGACGTATGCCAATGTTAATAACACATTTTACTCAGATGTTTTTTAGATAAAAATAATCTATTGACTTTTCCATTTATTGCCTTTTGGTTTTGTTTTTATTGAAAATTGGAACAATTGAATGTAGAATTTTGGAGTGCTAGTCAAATTAATTAGATTTTTAATTGATGTTGAGATAAGGGTACATCTGTGTTAATAAATATAGCACATGTTGTGGATAATGAGCATAGAATCAAGAATATAGCTCGAATATAGCTTGAATATAGCTTGAAAAAAAAAACACCTTTAAAAAAAAATGGATAAAAGAGAGGAGAGGTCTAAGATTTTGAAGTTTCCTTGAAAAACTCACGAATATAAAATTGAAAATGGTCTTTGGAAATACTAAAACCGTCTTCGGACGTGGACGGTTTTGAAAGTTCTATTTATAAAAAGTCCACTGTCCTTAAGCAATTATTAAAAACTCAACAATTTGCCAACTAGCCGAAATAATCATAGCCTGGCCCCAATATAGACTTAATAATGCCCTCTATAATTTTTAAATGCCTGCATAGCTGACACAGGTTGCTGATTGTGGAAAGCCCAATAGATATACTGGGTAGCTATGAATAAAAGAAGCGGTCGCAAACAGTCAGCGGGACTGAGAGGGAGAGTCTCGGCTTAAATACCAATGATTCTTAGACTGTGTTGTAAAAAGGACCCATCAGTTTTTCAGCCTTCGAGTCAGGGTACGGGAGTTTCGATGATACGTTGGCACCTCAGCGAATTTTAGGTTCAGTTACCAAGTACTTATCATGGTACGGAGGCCGTCGTCAGTCTGACGAGGAAGAAGACTTGAATACCACGGTGGTCCATCCCTTGACCTCTTGTCAGGGGTTGACTCCCATGAAGGTCGTACTGAGTAGCTCCAGCGGTCCTAATACCAATTTGTCGGTAAACACCACACAAGCCTATGCTCTC